CTCTGGAAGTTGACCTCAGCCGGAGGTCTCTACTGGCAGTGTCCCTCAGCAGCAACCTGATTTCTGCCCCCAGGTACCTGGCCAATGATGTGGAGGAGGTTGATGAGGCCCCCAAACAAGCCATCTTCCACTTCCTGTATGGGAAGAACCGCTTCCAGCGACCCTTGTTCCAGAAGCTTCGGTTCCAGTTCTTCTGTTCCATGCACTGGAGAGCTTGTGTTTCCCCAGAGGAGTTGGAGAAGGTGAGTGGGGTGTGGGGAGGTGGAGGAGGTGGGGAGGAGTCAAGTGGATTGGAGACTGGATGAAGGGAGGGAGGGGCATCTGAGGAGTCCCCGTCTTCTCAAGGACCATTTTCTTATCCAGATCCAGATCCAGGCTTATGATCCAGAGAACTGGGTGTGGGTATGAGACCACGCCTTCCTTTCCTAGAGCTCCAGGGACCATGGAGGCCTGAGGTCATCAGCCTGAGGGAAGGTACATTTGTGTCCCCTAGAGTCAAGGCAGAATATTATGGTCTATTTAGGAAATTTGAGGAACCCAATTGCTTGAACCAGCTTCAAACCTGGGCAACATGGCGAGATCCCTTTTCCACAAAAATACACAAATTAACTGGGTGACGTGGGAGGCATCTCTATTCCCAGCTACTCAGGAGGCTGAAGAGGGAGGATCTCTGGAGCTTGGGAGGTTGGGGCTGCAGGGAGCCCTGATCCTGCCACTGCACTCCGGTCTGAGACCCCATATCAAAAATCATCATAAATACTGAGTTCCAGGAGGTTGATTACGATTGACGCACTTGAGTTACCGATGTGGGTCTAGGATTCAGTGAAGATTCGGTTTATGTCTTGTGCAGCTAACCACGTTGAGGACCCAGCATTGAGACTTAACCCTTAGGAAGTGAGATTACGGATCAGGCTTCTGGATTGGTGGTTAGTGATGATGTCACATTAGAAACACAGCTAGCATGGTTACAAGTTTAGATCTTAAGTTACACCAAAGGCCCCAGGTGTGATGAAGTCCAAAGCCACATTCTCTGAGGGTGCTCTACTCCCTGAGCAGACCCACCCAAAGTCCTGGCTATGAAGCAGATCGCTGGGGCTGGCCTTGGGTGTATTAAGTGAGATTTGGAGTCAGGTTCGCCAAAGTGTGAATATCACAATTGAACATGATGGTTCAGAAGCAGGGTAGAGAATGAAGGGCAGGAGATAAAATTGGATTGGTCAATTGCTAGTTAGAATTGAAGTGGGATGTGAGTAACTTTCCTGTCTAGAGAACTGCCTCCTTGAAATGTGACCTCCTCTCTTTCACTTCCAGAACACTGGACCCAGGGGAGATGTGGATTTTCAGCAGGAAGTTTATTCCAATGTTAATGGCAGCACCAGGAAGAAAGAGAGGAACCATTTGTGCAGATCATCTGGAAGAACCTAGAAGAACCTGGACTGTTCTAGAAGGAGCAGAATAGAGTGATTATGCTGCCCTCCTAGGAGTGGTGGGTAGGGGGTACTTCTGGGCATCCTTGGAGGACAGTGAGAAACCAGCGGTGTTTCTTGTTCCACCCCTTCCTGCAGCACCACCTCCCTTTTTAGATTGCTGAATTCAACCTCCCTGGGGTGGAACCTGGAGGTCCTGCTTCCTATGGACTTGGTTGCCACAGTCCGGGAGCATTTGAAGGCACAGTGCACGTGCTCAGATTGGCACAGAATTATTTGTAAAATATGAGTGCCACAGGATTGTAACAGATAGCTTCATGCATACTATGCATTTTGTTGGTTTGTTTGGAAAATGTCGGCCATTGAATTATTAGTACATTTATTTCAGATAGTTTGGAAATTTTTATACTTTTGAAGACATGCTGCTCCTGTAGAGTTTTTTGATGACAGTTATAGCTGTTACATATACATAAATATAATTTTCTTTCCATTTTTAAGAAGGAATTTTGTTTATCCTAAATCTTTTATTATCTGTTATTATATGTGCTCCTGAAGTGAACACTCTTTTTATCTATGATGCTTATGTAATCTATTATATCATATCTATGTGGTAGTTCTCGTAAATTCTTGTACTAGGAATTTTTATTTGCTGTTTCATGTTTGTTACTGAATTGTGAGAATCCAGTTGTGATTTTTAACATATCTTAGGTATATGTTAATAGGTCTAATATATACTATACATTTTATTGGTTTATTTTGAAAAAGGTGGGCATAGAATTCTTTTTTTTTTTTTTTTTTTTTTTTTTTTTTTTTTTTTTGAGACGGAGTTTCGCTCTGGTTACCCAAGCTGGAGTGCAATGGTGCGATCTCGGCTCACTGCAACCTCCACCTCCTGGGTTCAGGCAATTCTCCTGCCTCAGCCTCCCGAGTAGCCGGGATTACAGGCAGGCACACGCCACCATGCCCAGCTAATTTTTTGTATTTTTAGTAGAGACGGGGTTTCACCATGTTGACCAGGATGGTCTCGATCTCCTGACCTCGTGATCCACCCGCCTCGGCCTCCCAAAGTGCTGGGATTATAGGCTTGAGCCACCGCACCCAGCCCCTAGAATTCTTACTATATTTATTTTAAATAGTTTGGAAATCCTGGTATTTTGAAAAGACATTGTTCCTATAGAGTTGTGTGATGAGTGTTATAGCTGTTATATACACATAAATATAATTTTGTTTTTCTTTCAAGAGAGGATTATTTTTATCCTAAGTATTTTATCTTTAAATCTTTGTATGTATTATTACATGTGGTGGTGAAGGGATGACACTTTTTTTCTCTGATACTTACTTAGTATATTACCTTTATAGCTACATGGTAGTTCCCCTAAATTCCTGTAAAAATAAATTTTTATTTGATGTTAAGTGTATGTTTTTGAAATGTGAGAATTCAGACATGATTTTTTACCTCATATTGACATGTTTGTATGTTAAAGAGGATGTATGTTTTAAAGGAGGACATGCACTGTGTGTTTTCAAGAGAACAGAGCAGTGCATGTATTGGGGAAATGTAATAAAGATGAAGTTTTTTCACCTTTATAGAGTGCGATCATATTGCTCTGGATTGCTTATTTCCTATCAAGTGACATTTTTCCTTAATGTTATTTGGAAAAATGTCCAAATATTTGGTTATTTGAACATATTTATTAGCTCTGGAAGATAATCCTGTTATTTTTCATGTAGAAAAAAACAAAGCTGTGCTCAGTGCTCACATGTATAATCCCAGCACTTTTAAAGTCATGGCAGGAGGATCACTTGACACCAGGAGTTTGAGACCAACCTGGGCAACATAGCATCTACATCTATTTTTAAAAAATATTTTTAAAAAGAAAAAAAATAGAGAAGGCCAATCCCAAGCTTAGAGATTTTTGTTTATTTTGTTTTTTTGAGACGGAGTCTCGCTCGCTCTGTCGCTCAGGATCAAGTACAGTAGTGCAGTCTTGGCTTACTGCAACCTCCACCTCCTGTGTTCTAACCATTCTTCTGCCACAGCATCCCAAGAAGCTGGGACTACAGGTGTGTGCCACCACGGTGAGGTGTAATGTTTGTATTTTAATAGAGACAGGGTTGCACCATATTAGCCAGGCTGAACTCAAACTCTTGACCTCAAGTGATCCACCCACCCTGGCCTTTCAAATTGCTGGGATTACAGGCATGAGCTACCATGCCCAGCCCCTAAGCTAGAGATTTAAAGCAGGAAATTAGAGAAAGACATTGAGAGAAGAAAACCAGGTGGTAAAAATACTCTAAAGGTTTTTATTTTCTAGCGTTTCTAAAGTGGCTCACACCTGGGATCCCAGCAGGAGTTCCAGACCAGCCTGGCCAACATGGTGAAAGCCCATCTCTACTAAAAACACAAAAATTAGCCATGAATGGTGGTGGCCACCTGCAATCCTAGCTATTCGGGAAGCCAAGGCAGGAGAAATCACTTGACCCTGGAAATTGGAGGTAGCAGTGAGCAGAGATTGTGCCTCTGCACTCCAGCCTGGGTGTCAGAGCGAGACTCTGCTTTCCAAAGAAAAAAAAAAGTTTCTGCAACATTTGAGCCATTAAAGACAGGCACTGTGCCATGCAATTTTTTTATTTTTGGAGTTGGGGTCTTGCTCTGTCACCTATGCTGGTCTGCAGTGGTGTGGTAGCTCACTGTAGCCCCAGACTCAAGTTCAAGTGATCCTCTTACCTTGCTTCCCAAAGTGCTGGGATTACAAGCATGAGCCATCACAGCTGGCCTGTATGACACAATTCTGATGACAACTCCCTGATGTTAACTTCAAATGCCACAAGTTAAGGCCACAAACCCCCACTAGGCTGCCTTCACATTAGATGCAAGCTGCAAGTTTGGGTGTCCTCAGATCACATGTACTTCTCACCAACTGGCTACAAATTCAGAGGTTCCCACAGTGTCCTTTGATAATTTATAACAACTCAAAGAACTCAGAAAAGCAAGATACTTTTTTGTTAGATGAAGTCTCACTGTTAAGCAAAAGTACAATGGCACAATCTCAGCTTACTGCAACCTCTGACTCCCAGGTTCAAATGATTCTCTTTGCCTCAGTCTCCCTAGTAGCTGGGATTAGAGATGAGTGCCATCATACCTGGCTAATTTTTGTATTTTTGGTAGGGTTTCGCTGTGTTGGCCAGGTTGGTCTTGAACTCCCAAACACAAGTGATCTGCCTGCCTCAACTTTACAAAGTGCTGGGATACAGGCATGAGCTTTTGTGCCCGGCTGAGCATGATATTTTCATTACAATTTTATGTAAGAAAAACTGACAAAAGTAACACCAGTCAAAAGCAGAGACATGTAGTATAAACTCCGAGAGGGTCCTGAAGATGACATTTCTGTGTCCTCAGGATGCATCATCCTCTCAGCATACTGATGTGTATCTCAAACCAGGGAAGATAAGATCACCGTAGCTTCCATGTCCAGGGCTTTTATCACAGCAGGTGGGTTGATGCAATCATTGGCCAGGCAATTGAGTCCATCTCCAGCCCCCCAGTTCCTTTCTGGAGGTTGGGCTGACATCATGTGGCTCAACATCACAACCTTCAAATCGCATGGTTGGTCTTTCTGGTGTGGTTGTCCCCCTGGCCAAGTCATCTGGTTAGCATGCACTAAGCTGTGACCCTGGGGTGGCCACTATGAGTAACAGACACACCTGTCATTCAAGAATTCCATGGATTTAGAGGCTGGCTACCTCCAGGAATCAGAGACAAGACCAGAACCAACAGGGAAAAGAAGACCAGGGAAGTCTCAGAACAGCAAAGAAATAAATTCCTTTTTTTAAAAATTTTGTGTAAATGAGTTTATTGACAAAGACACAAGGTCACACTTCCCCCAACCCCCACCCTCCCCCAAAACAGGACCCTACAAGAACAGAGGAATGAGAAGCATTCTCATTTTTCGCCACCCCGCCCCCCTTCCGATTTCTTTCCAGAGACTCAAGCTTCACAACACAGACACACAGAGCAGGCTTGGGTGAGGACAGACACTCAGGGAATCTCTGACCAGCAAAAGAGTTCTGGGTGTTTGCTTCTCCTGCCCTTTGTGTGATGCCAGCTGATGTTACAAAAACACACTTAGGCAGAGGAGGGGGCATGCAGGGCAACCTCCACTCACTTCCCTAATTTGGCCAAGCTTGGAATGAGCCAAGAGAGAAGTTGTGGTGGAGGCAACAGTTTCTGCCTCTCAGGAGAGGACCTTCCCATAATAAATTCTACTTCCCATAATAAATTCCTTTTTATATGTGTATATATAATGTATATAAAATATATATTTAATGAATTAATGTATTAAATATGTAGATTGTTTTATAAATAGAAATGTCATATTTTCATATAGCATAAACATTATACATATATAAATATATGTTTCTCCCTTTATTTACTTATGAGTTGAGTAGTCTCACTCTGTCACCCAGGCTGGAGTGCAGTGGCATGATCTCAGCTCACTGCAACCTCTGCCTCTTGAGTTCAAGCGATTCTCCTGCTTCAGCCTCTCCTGTTGCTGGGATTACTTTTGTTAAATTTTGCCTAAACCTGCCTCATAAACAGTGAAATGTATCCTAATTTAAGTGTGTAAACCTTTTGCTAAGGTAATGTAAAAGTAAAATTAAAGAAAATAAGGAAAAAAGAGCATAAACCTTTGTGAAAAAGCCTTTAGGCCTTGTCAGTTCCTAGAATGTATTTATTTCACTACACTGGGGACTCCATTTCCAGTGTTAAGGTCCATTTTCAGAAGACTGGGCAAGCATCAGACAGGGGGTGGGGAGGAATTATACAAACAATTGAGTCCAGGTGGTGGTCCTAGGACCCAAGGGCCCCCTCTGTATGGAAGGGGCACCCAACAGCTGTAACTGATGTGTTCCCCGAGAATGACTTTATGGTCTAAGAAGAACGTGAACGTGTGTTCTCAGCCCCAAGCTAAGGAATCAGGAGTGGCAAGACCCCAGAAGGATGCCAACTTATGAAACCCCGAGTCAAGAGGTCTAGCAGGGCACTTGGTTTCTCAGGTCACACACTTGGCCCTCTTCCAAGTTGTACTATCCTTCTTTCCTTTCCTTTCCTTCCTTTTCTAAAGGTTTTCAGTAAACTTTTTTTTGAGATGGCATCTCACTCTATCACCCAGACTGGTGCACAGTGGCACCATCTCAGTTCATGGCAATGGCCGCCTCTCAGGTTCAAGCAATTCTCCTGCCTCAGCCTTCTGAGTAGCTGGTCTGAGACCACTACCACACCTGGCTAATTTTTGTATTTTTAGTGGGAATAGGGTTTCTCCATGTTGACCAGGTTGGTCTCAAACTCCTGACCTCAAGTGATCTGCCCACTTCAATCTCCCAAACTGCTGGTATTACAGGCTTGAGCCGCGGCCCTGGCCTTTTTTTTTATTTTTCTTTGTGATAAGTCTCTGGCCAGGCTGGAGTGCAATGGCATGATCTTGGCTCACTGCAACCTTCGCCTCCCAGGTTCAAGCGATTCTCCAGCCTCAGCCTCTCTACTAGCTGGGATTACAGGTGCCCGCCAGGACACCCAGCTATTTATTGATTTTTTTTAGTAGAGATCGGTTTTCGCCATGTTGGCCAGACTGGCCTCAAGTGATCCACCAACCTCTGCCTCCCAGAGTTCTGGGATTACAGGCGAGGGCCACCGCTGCACCTGGCAGGCATGGAAGAGGTTCCCTTGGGTCCTGCTCAGAGGAGTCACGCTGGGGAAAGCAAGTGGAGGTGCTCCTTGAAGAAAATAGGGAATCTCACATCTCAGCAGTTCTGTCCTGGCCTGCCGCCCTGGATCGTCCAGCCTGGGTCGGGGTGGGAAGACCTTGCCCTTCTTGACTGGGGTTGAGTGTGAGGGTCCCATTTCGCCAAGGCCTAGCCCGCGGTTCCCAGTCCCTGGCACCACCCAGCGCTCCCCCTCCCCTCCAGACCTGGCACTCGCCCTCAACCAAAATGGCACCGACGGCCTCAAGCGACGTGCCCGCCGGCCTCCTCCCGCGCTTCTTTTATCCCCGCAGCCGGAAGCCGAGCAGCAGAGCGGAAAGCCTGGCTTTGGGGTCCGCGGTGGTTTAGGGAGCGCCAGGGCTGTTGTGTGGCTGCACGGTGGTGCTGCAGGGCGGGATGCTGTACCCCCGGGAGAGCCCGTCACGGAAGTGCAAGGAGCTGGACAGCCCCTGGAGCTTCCGCGCCGACTTCTCCGACGACCGGCGCCGGGGCTTCCAGGAGCGGTGGTAGCGGCCGCTGCTGCGGTACTTAGGGCAGGGCCAGGAGGCACACAGAAGCCGGGCGGAGGGAGTAGGGGAGCCCGGGCCGCCTCGCAGGCTCCTTTCCCTTGTCGCCCGGGGGTTGGGGGCCCAGAGTAGGTTAAAGGTCAGTGGGCTTGGGAGCGCTGGGTTGGAGGAGTTGGGGCAGGGAGGGGACCCAGGAGGACCGCTGCGGAGGAGGAGGAAGCGCCCCTGCCGAGCCCCCTCCCGAGGCGAAGGCTGAGCCCGGGCAGTGTCCTTTTTTTTAATGTTTGTTTTTAATTTTTAAAATATTTTTTGAGACTGGGCTTGGCCCTGTTGCCCAGGCTGGAGCGCAGTGGCGCAATCCTAACTTCTGAGCTCAAGCGATCCTCCTGCCACAGCCTTGCAAGTTAGCTGGGGGGCTCCACGCCTGGCTAATTAAAATAAATTTTCTTTTAGATATAGGGTCTCACTACTTTGCCCAGGCTGGTTTCGAACTCCTGGCCTCAAGCCATCGTTTTATGTTGACCTTCCAAAGCACTGATTACCGGCATGAGCCACCCAAACACTCCTCCCAGTAGTTGGGCCAGAGCGTCTTGGGCTGCACAGAGCTGGACCTGAGGATGGGAAGGAGGAGACAGTTTAAACATCCTGAGGTCAGCTCTGCAAAGAAGCCAGGAGTAACTTGGTCCCAGATCTGTTTGGGGGCCTAGGAGCTGAGCACCGCCCTTCTCTCCACAGTCTGGCCCCACCCTGGACATGGAGGTTCTCTCCAGCTTCAAGAACATCTGCCAGGACTGGCGGCTATGGCATTTTGTCAGCTGGGTGTGGCACAAATGGGAAGTGACCTTGCCAGAGTGGTGGACCCAGGACCTCCACAGAAGAGTGGTGCTGAGGATTGGCAGTGCCCAACTCCTATGCCATTGTGGTGAGTGCAGCCAGGAGCAGGTAGGGCAGGTGGGTGGGTGTGGCTGCTGAACAGCATGGGAGTCCCAGGTGCCACCCACAGCCTGTCTCCTGGGATGGAATGGTGAGGGGCCCTTCCTTGATCTGCCCTGGAGGCTGTTCCCTGTGTAGGGGGATAGGTGACCTCCTCTACCCCATTGGGATGCCATTCTTCCCATCTGGCTGGCAGGCCTCAGCTCTATGCTGCAAGTTATGAGGGAGTGACCAATAGCCCCTCCTCATGCACTGACCTGCCACCCCCTCCCCATATCTCCAGATGTGCTAGAGCATGGGGGTTTACCTCCCCTTCAAGGCCAACATCAGCAGCCTGGTCCAGGTGGGGCCCCTGCCCTCCCACCTCCCCGTCACTATTGCCATCAACGACACACTCCCTCCATCCAGCCACCAGGGATCATCTGCTACATGACCGACACCTGCAAGTGGCTACCATCCTGCCTCCACCACATGCCCCACCTCCCCACCCCACCCCATAGTCTTCCTGCTAGGGACAGATTTGCCTTCACAGAATGGACGGGCCTGGATCTGGGGAGGCCACAGACATGTGAGCTGAGGTTAAACAACCCACAGCAGGGGTCCAGCAAACCACAGTTCTCCCACCCTGGATATCCCAAGGGTTACTTTGTCCACAACACAGACTTTGACTTCAGCTCGGCGGGACTGCAGCGGTCTGTGCTTCTGTTCACGACACTCACCACCTGCATTGATGACATCACCATCACCGTCACCACCAGCGTGGAGCAAGACAGTGGCGAGAGCTTCCAGTAGGATCCTTTCTCAGTGGGGCCCAGGGTGGCTCTGTTTGTTCCCTGTTTGGAAAGCTCTCCCAGGAAAAAGGTTCTCCTAGCATCTCTAAACCCTCCCAGGTTCCCATCCACCTACAAAGCTCAAATCCAGACTGTCTGAGCGGGCACCGGCTCCCAAAATCACCTGTGTGGTTGACCTCATTTGGAGAAGAGGGGTCTTCTTGCCTATGGTCACAGAGCTCAGGGTGGCAATCCTGTCCCTTTCCCATGGAGCTACCCTCACTCCAGCTCCCCTTGGTACACATTGTGCTCAAGGAACAGGCAGCTTACCAGGTACTCCCTGTGGCCCGAGGCTCCCACCAAATCCCTGAGCAAATAGTGCAGTGTTGCCAGTCTGTGGTTTCATGTTGAACTAATTAAATGCTCAAGTGCTGTTTAACTGCATGCCTTGATGAGTGCCTCTCTCCATCCTTTAATGACCCCTGATGCCCACATGGCTCATGAGTGAAGATGTCCCCACCCCAGATGCCCCTTCCCAAGGTGTGCTTTCAGGACTCAGCTCCTAGACAGGGACAGTCAGCCATTAGGGATAGGGTGGGACCAGGGCAGGGGCTCTCCTGACTCCTGATACCTGTTTGCCTGCCCCCCGCGTTACTGCCACCTGCTATAGGTGACTGAGAAGTGGGCCTAGAGCACCTTCAGACTCAACCCCAATGATGAGGACATCCACACAGCCAGCGAGCACCACATGAAGGTAAGATCCCTGCAGCCCCACTGCTTTCCTGGCCTCCCGTCTTCACCTGGCCCTGGGCCACTTAGAGCATTAGCACCATTGTTCTATTTACTTCACCATTGGCAGACAGCAGTGACGATCTCAGGACATGGGCCAGTTGCAGTGGCTCATGCCTATAATCCTAGCACTTTGGGAGGCTCTGGTGGAAGGATCACTTGAGGCCAAGAGTTGCATGGGCAACATAACAAGGTTTCATAACTACAAAAAATTGAAAGAAAAAAATAAAGAACAACAGGGCTAAGCAGAATTGGTGAGAGATTTGGGCAAGACCTGGGGCCCTTGGGTAGAGAGGGAGGTTGGCAGGGCTGATGAAAGCTGCCCTGTCTGGATTGACTCCTCTGGGCATCTAGACTGTGACCCTGGGCCTCCCTTCACTTCCAAGAGCTCATTAGCAAAACTGCTGGGAAGCTGCACACGGGATGCAGCTGGAATGACCAGGTGCCTCTAGCCCCTCCAACCCCCTGCTTTTTGCTGTCCCAACGTTGGGGAGCCCAGGGGGCAGTTAGAGCTCAGCAGGGTCCTGGCTCCCCAGGGAAGCAGCTCATCAGCCTCCCTGAGCATCACCTCCTGCTTGCACAGGTGGTCATGGAGCTTAGACTATGGATGTGGCAGACCTGCTCGATGCTCTCCGGCCTCCTGTGGGAGCCCATCAGGACCATGGTGGATCCCACAGAGGTGTGAGTCCCAAGGCACACCCAGGGGTTAGAGAGAGGTGTGATGGCATCCTGAACAGCAGACTAGGTGGCAGGGACAAACAGGGTGGAGATGCCAGGCCCTGGGGGACGGGTATTATAGAACGCCGAGATTGAGGCAGAACAGCCAGGAGTGGGGCATTTCCTGCAGTCCCCAATACTCCCATGGCAGTCTAGCTCAGCAGGCAGGGAAGAGTCACCCTTTGTGGGGCCTGGTGTGGTGGCTCATGACTGTAATTCCAGCACTTTGGGAGGCAGAGGCTGGTGGATCACCTGAGGTCAGGAGTTCACGACCAGCCTGGCTAACATGGTGAAACCCTGTCTCTAATAAAAATACAAAAATTAGCCAGACGTGGTGGTGTGCACCTGTAATCACAGCTACTTGGGAGGCTGAGGCAGGAGAATCCCTTGAACCCAAAAGGCGGAGATTGCAGTGAGCTGTGATTGCATCACTGCACTTCGGCCTAGGAGACAGAGTGAAGGAGTGAGACTCCACCTCAAAAACTAAAAAATAAAAAGGAAGAGAACTCATCCTTTGCAGACTTGAGGGAAGGAAACTAAGGCACTAGCTTGGCTGTGCCTGGAGCAGCAAGAGTCTCTCCCCACTCTGCCTGTGTCCCACGTCTCCCGCATTATGTGTCCCCACCCAGCCCATCTGGTGAAAGGCAGAGGCAAAGGCTGCCTCCTGCTGGCCTCATCCCAGGCTTTGGCTTCTGGGACCTGGTGTCTTTGGGTCTGGATTTGTTCCTTGTAGACCTGGAGGAGGAGCTGCTGGGGAGTCTCCACGTGTTGTCAGAGACCCCTCCTCTTGGTCAGCTCCCTGTGACCCCTGTTTCTCAGACTGGGAGGGAAATAAGGGCACACAATTGTGACCATGGAGGTGGCGCAAGGCTGCTAGGAGGAACGGAGTGTCTGCTACAGAACTCAGGGTTTCTTTCATTTACTTTTTTTTTTTTGAGACAGGGTCTTGCTCTGTCACCTAGTCTGGAGTACAGTGGTGGGATCTCTCCTACCTGCAAACTTTGCCTCCCTGGGTCAAGTGATTCTCCTACCTCAGCCTCCCAAGTAGCTAGGATTACAGGTATGTGCACCACATGCAGCTAATTTTTGTATTTTTTTCAGTAGAGATGAATTTTACCATGTTGGCCAGGCTGATCTCTTGAACTCCTGAGCTCAGGTGATCTGCCCACCTCAGCCTGCCAGAGTGCTGGGATTATAGGCATAAGCCACTACATCCAGCCTAATTTTAAAATTTTTAACTTTTTTATTTTTTGAGATAGAGTTTTGCTCTTGTCACCCAGGCTGAAGTGCAATGGCACTCGGCTCAGTGCAACCTCTGCCTCCCAGATTCAAGCAATTCTCCTGCCTCAGTCTCCACAGTAGCTGGAACTACAGGTATGTGCCACACCCAGCTAATTTTTGTATTTTTTAGTAGAGACAGGGTATTACCATGTGGCCAGAATGTTCTCAATCTCCTGATCTTGTGGTGGTCCATCCACGTTGACCTCCCAAAGTGCTGGCATTACAGGCGTGAGCAACCACACCCGGCCAAATTTTCTCTGTTTGTCTTTAGAGATGAGCTCTTGCTCTGTCACCTAGGCTGGAGTGCAGTGGCTCAGTAATAGTTCACTGAAGCCTTAAACTCCTGGACTCAAATGATCTTCCCACCTCAGCTTTCTGAGTAGGTAAGACCACAGGTGTGCACCACACCCTGCAAAGTTTCTACATTTTTTTGTAGTAATGGGTTTTCACTATGTGGTGCGGTCTGGTTAAGTCCCAGCCTCAAGTGATCCTACCATCTTGGCCTCCCAAAGTGCTGGAATTACAGGCTTGAGCCACCGTACCTGGCCTTGAGTACAGAATTTCCTTAGGGGGTGACGAAAATGCTCTAAAATCGGTGATGGATGTGCACTAAAGTGTGAGTGATATCTCAGCAAAGTTGGTTTATTTAAAACAACAACAGGCTGGACGAAGTGGTTCATGCCTGTAAGTAATCCCAGCACTTTGGGAGGCCAAGGTGGGTGGATCATCTGAGGTCAGGAGCTTGAGACCAGCCTGGCCAACATGATGAACCCCTGTTTCTATTAAAAGTATGAAAAATTAGTAACTTGAATGAGGGGCAGGGTATCCCACCTGCTCCGAGTAGCACTTTATGAGCCCCAGTTATTTCTGGGGTCCTCAAATGAAACCTCCCAAGTCATACCCAAGTCATACCCAACATGTGCCTCCTCCCCTTTTCTAGCCCCGGCTGGGAGATGCTGAGTGATAGAGGCTCAGGCTTTGGGTGTTCCTGGCAAAGCCTCACCCCAGGAGCCCCACAGCTCAGGCCCAGTCCATGGTTCACATGGCCCCATTTCGTCCTCTTTTTCCCTTGAGAGCAGTTTGTTCCTGGGAGATCCTGGATCCCTCATTCAGGTGCAGTGCTGTAGGGCAACACTTCTTCCTGGGGTGATCCAGGCCTGCAGGGTCCCAGTGTCACTGGCAGGCCTTGACCTGGCCTCCACCTAAGCCCCTGCTCCTCCTCTCCCACAGGGAACATGACATCCTCTTCCTAGGTTACACCCACCTGCAGAGGGCCCAGCCCCATCACTGGAGCCACTGGATTCTGAGGTGAGCTGGGTGAGTTGCTGGGGCTGTACTGGATGGGAGGACCCTGGCTGTCCTGACCCTCCTGCCCCTGGCTTTCCACAATGGTGCCATGGTGCTGACCCTAGACTCTGAGCAGCTGCTGGAGGTTCGGAAGCTGATTGGTGTCCTGCCCCTGGGGAGGTGGGTGAAACTCCAGTGCCCTAAGGGCCTGGTGGGTGTGGCTGCTGCATAGCCCAGGGATTCACACATGAGCTGGGAAGGGCAGAGAGAGTTAGAAAATCAGGTTATCTGCTCAGAGGGGGACCCTGCATGGATTCCCAGGTCTTGCTAAGGTGGGGACGTCCAAGCCAGTGAATGTGTCTGAGCAGGGCTGGCCTTAGCGTAACACACTTAGCGTAATCCAAACTTATGGGGAAATGACCTGATTTATTCAATAAATGGACTACAAGGGACAGCACAGAGATCAAAGTGGGAAGTTGGTCAGGATCAAGAAAATCCTAAGAGGTGAATCAAACAATCCCAAGGAGAGACTTTATTTGGATCCTGATTCACACAATAAATACATGAAATGACTAGAAATTTGGAGCTAGAAGGAGAGTTGACAGTGATAAAGAGCAATGGTGTGAGATGGTTGGTTGATGATGGTATTGGGATTATTATATTTTTTAAAGAGTTCTTGTCTCTGGGCACGGCGCTTCACACCTATAATCTCAGTAGTGTCGGAGGTCAAGATGGGAAGATCCTTTGAATCCAGGAATTCTAGACCAGCCTGGGCAACATAGCAAGACCCTGTGTCTACTAAAATACAAATTAAAAAATTAGCTTGGCATGGTGGTGTGAGTCTGTAGTTGCAGCTACTCAGGAAACTGAGGCAGGAGAGGCCACAGTGAACCAAGATCATGCCACTGAACTTCAGCCTGGTTGACAGAGACCTTGTCTTGAAAGAACAAACAAGAATTGTATCTTTTACAGACATATACCAAGAGAGTCAGGGAGGAAGTTATATGATGTGTGGGATTTGCTATAAAATCCTGAGAGGGAGAGGAGAAGCATGTAGGAGTATACGTGTAATGAGATTGGCCATCAGATAACAAGTATCTGAATCTGCTGCCGAGTAGGTGAAAGTCACCACACTAGCCTCTTGTTCCAAAAAGCTCGAATAGAAAGTTTGTGTAAAAATCCACTTCATGGATTTGTAACAAGCATTGAATAAGATCGTGTATACAGAGTGTTTTATCACCATGGCTTGCAGGTAGTCAGCACACAAACATTGCTTTTAGTTTTGTATAGTCCCTGTCCATTAATCACACCCACAAAAGATACGTTGTTCACACCAAGAGCTCTGGCCCATGGACCTTTGTCCACTTGGTGGTAATTTATTGGAATTTGAGGTTTAGAATGAGGAAAATACCAGCCTTCAAAGCCCCAAGCCTACTATGAAATAGCAAAGCCAATGGTCCCAGATGGCTTCGTAGCACACCTAGTAAGTAGGACCATTTTTCTCTCACCTTGTAGGCACACTTGAGTTCATTCACTCATTTTTCATTCATTTCTTATATGCCATGTATTGGGTACTAGGGATCCGTAATACAGTTGGCCCCTAATTGAATGGAAGCATCACTTTCAAAGCATCATTGCAGGATGAGTATTTTGTGTCAAGTGGATTCAAGGGACAGTGCGAAGGATCCATGGCCTCAGTCATGAAGACCCTCCCAAGAGCCAACCGTCCTGGGCACATATAAATGAGTGGAGACATGGAACTCACCCTTACAAGGCCTAGAACTTGACAGAGCATACAAGACAGAAGCCCAAATAACCAAGAACAGGAAGCTGAAGGTGAGAGGTGGGCCCCAAAGGATTCTGTGAAAATGCTTTGTGTTTGTGGATTTATCATGCTGAATGAAACCTTTGTTTTTATTCACAGGTTAGATACACTCTCTATATAGAATCTATGAAGGGACACTTCTGGGTTTTCTGAGGCCTATGGTGAAAAATGGAGTATCTCAGGCCACTCAGGATGAATAATGCAGTCACCGAGAGGGGCAGGGTGGCCACAGGTGGCCAGCAGCAGGGATGGGCATTGTGAGCCTTTGGGTGGGGTTGTGGGAAGTGGCATTGTGAGCCACTGGCCTGACTTTGTTGTTTCCTGGTAACCAGGTGACATAGGAGGCTTTGTGGGTAACAGGCATCAGCCAGGGCCAGCAGCCTTCAGTCGGAAGCTGATGGAGGAGGAGGAGGAGCTCCGACTACTCTCACGGAAGTATTTGTGCCCTTGTGGCTTGCTCTGTTGCAGCACTTTGGGAGGTCAAAGAAGGTGGACCGCTTGAGTCCAGGAGTTAGAGACCAGCCTGGACAACATGTTGAAACCCCATCTCTACAAAAAAAATACAAATTAGGCACAGTGGTGGAGGTGGATGCATATAGTTCCAGTTACTCAGGAGGCTGAAGTAAGAAGATGGCTTTAGTGTGGGACGTGAAGATTGCAGAAAGCTGACATCACAACACTGCACTTCAGTCTTGGCAACAGAGTGAGACTATCTCAAAAAAAATGTATACTTTATTGAATCATTTATATATGATTGTTATTTTTGATTACATATTGTTTAGTTCACTACTTTAAAGCCTGCTTTATTATTTCTTAATTTTATTGACTCATTTGTGCCTTAGTCTGTTTCATTACAAATTATTGTTTAGTCACTACCTTGGAGCCTGTTTTCTTTTTTAAAAAATTTTATTACACTTTAAGTTATGGGGTACATGTGCAAATGTTGCAGGATTGTTGCATAGGTACACACATGCCATGGTGGTTTGATGCCTCCATGCCCCCATTACCTACATCAGGAATTTCTCTTAATGTTATACCTTCCCAACCTCTCCACCCCCAACTATCCCTTCCTTAGTCCCACACCCCCACAGACCCCAGTGTGTGATGTTCCCCTCTCTTGTGTTCATGTGTTCTCATTCTTCAACACCTACTTAGGACAGAACATGTGGTGGTTGGTTTTCTTTCCTTGTGTCAATTTGCCGAGAATGATGGTTTCCAGATTCATCCATGTCCCTGTAAAGGACATGAACTCACCCTTTCTTAAGACTGCATACTATCCCATAGTGTATATGTGCCACATATTCTTTATTCAGTCTATTATTATTAATCGGCATTTGGGTTGGTTCCAAGTCTTTGCTATTGTAAACAGTGCTGCAACGAACATATGTGTACATGTGTCTTTGCACTAGTCCTCTCGTGTAACTCTCCAGGTCCGGCTCCTGCCTGTGGTAGACACCTTTCCAGGCTAAGCATTGGCTTTTTGGCTTCCTATTTCAGCTCAGAACATTTTCAAGTCAGCCTCTCTGGTCTCAGCTCTTCCTCCTGGCTGCATCTACAGGCCCAACTCCTGCCTCACAACAACATTTGCACATTTGGCCCAGCTCCTGCTCAGCTTCTAGCAGTCTGTGTAGGCTCCAGCCTTCCTCAAGTTGGGCTTTCCAGGCCCACCTTTGGCCTCCCAGTGGCCTGGACAGACCCACCTCCTGCCTACCAACAGGTAGGCCCAGCTCTTACCCTTGATGTTGGCCTCCCCAGGCCATTTCTGCCTGCCTGCGTGCCTGCCTCATGGCAGCTCCTGGCTCTCTGATGGCCTCTTTAGGCACATGTCATGCCTCACCATGGCCTCCCCAGGCTGATGGAGGCTCCTGTTTTTCGGCATCCTCTGCAGGCCCAGCTTGTTCCTCACTAGACCATTTAGGCCTGCACGCCCGCTACTCGAAGCTTTTGGTGGCCTCTCCAAGCCCAGCTCATAAGCTCATTCCTTTGTGGCCTCTCCAGGCCCAGGTGCTGCTTTCTGGAATCCATTCTGGGCAAGCTTTTCCTCATGGCTTCATCTACAGGCCCCCCACCTGCCCTGCAACAACCTCTGTGAACTTTGGCTCCTTGTGGCATTTGTAGACCTGAAAGGTCCTGAAATCAAGCTCTCCAGGCCCACACAGCTCATGCCTCATAATGGCATCTCCAAGATCAGCTCCTGCCCTCTGAATGCATCTCGAGGACCCAAATATGCTCAAGTCAGCTTCTATTCGCCTGGCTCCAGCTTCCTCCTGGTGGCCTCAGAGGTTTACATGTTCCTAAAGTTGGCCAATTTTGGCCCAGGTCCTGCCATCCTGGTGGCCTCTCTGGTTGCAAAACCTCCTCACTTTGGCCCCTCCAGGGTGAGCTTCTGTCTCTCAATGACCTCATTGGGCCCAGCTCCTGCCTCCCAACATCCTTTGTGGACTCAGCTCCTGCCCAGCTTCTGATGTCCTCCATAGGCCTGAAAGGCTCATGGTTGCCTCCCCAGGCTCAGCTCCTGCTCTCTGTCAGCATCTACAGGCCCCAAACTTCCACAAGTTGGCTTCTCTTGGCTTGGCTCCAGCCTTTCTCCTGGGCAGGCCAAAATGGTCCTGAAGTCGGCCTCTCCAGGCCCAGTTCCTGCCTGACAGTGGCCTCTCCAGGCCCAAAGCCTCCTCTTGTGGGTTTGTCCAGGCCTGGCTCCTGCCTGTGGTAGGCCCTTCCAGGACCAGCCTCTGCTTCCTAGTGGATACAGGCATGCAATGTGTAATAATCACATCAGGGTAAATCAGATACTCCTCATCTTAAGCATTTATTTTACTTCTTTATTTAACAAGCAATTCAGTTATGTTCTTTTCCTTTTTTCTTTTTCTTTCTTTCTTTCTTTTTTTTTTTTTTTTTTGCACTGGAGTATAGCTCTTTCTCCCTGGCTGGAGTGCAATGTTCCAATCTCATCGCACTGCAATGTCTGTCCCCAGGGTTGAAATTATTCTCCTGCCTCAGCCTCCTGAGTAGCTGAGACTAATTTTTGTATTTTAAGTAGAGACAGGGTTTTGCTATGTTAGTTAGGCTGGTTTCAAACTCCTGGCAGGTTGCCTTGGCCTTCCAAAGTTCTGGGATTGCAAGCATAAGCCACCACACCTGGTCCCTTTTAGCTATTTTTAAATAAGTAAATTATTGTTTACCATTGTCACTCTTTTGTACTACCAAGTACTACATCTTATTCATTCTAACTGTATTTTTGTATTCATGAATTATTTCTGTGAACCCCCTCCAGCCCACTATTCTTTCCAGCCTCTGGTAACCTTCATCCTACTCTCTATCTTTATGAGTTCAATTGTTTTAATTTTTAGCACCCACAAATGACTGCGAACATGCAAAATTTGTCTCTCTGACTTATTTTAGTTAATAAAATAATCTCCAGTTCTACTCATGGTGTTGCAAGTAACAGGATTCTATTATTATCATGGCTGAATAATATTCCATTGTGTATATGTACCACATTTTCCTTATCCATTCACCTGTTTTTTTTTTGTTTGTTTGTTTGAGACCGAGTTTTGCTCTTGTTACCCAGGCTGGAGTGCACAATGGCGCGATCTCGGCTCATCGCAACCTCTGCCTCCTGGGTTCAGGCAATTCTTTTGCCTCAGCCTCCTGAGTAGCTGGTATTACAGGCACGTACCACCATGCCCAGCTAATTTTTTGTATTTTTAGTAGAGACGGCGTTTCACCATGTTGACCAGGGTGGTCTCAATCTTTTGACCTTGTGATCCACCCACCTCGGCTTCCCAAAGTGCTGGGATTACAGGCATGAGCCACTGTGCCTGGCCCCATTCACCTGTTAATGGACACTTAGATTGCCTCCAAATCTTGACTGTTGTGAATAATGTTGCAGCAAATGTAAAAATGTAGATATTTCTTTCATATACTGATTTATTTTCTTTTGGGTATATACCCAGCAGTAGAATTACTGTGTCATAAAGTAGCTCTTTTTAGTTTTTTGAGGACTGTCCAAACCATTCTCCATAGTGGTTGCACTAATTTACTATCTCACCAAAAGTGTACCAGGGTTCCCTTTTCTCCACATCCTCATTAGCATTCGTTACTGCCTGTCATTTGGATATAAGCCATTTTAACTGGGATTGCATGATAGTTCATTGCAGTTTCTATCAGTGATGTTGAGCATCTTTTTATAAAGATGCCATTTGTATGTTTTCTGTTGAGAAATGTCTATTTTGATCGTTTGGCCATTTTAAATCAGATTATTTGCTTTTTGTTCTATTTTTGTTTTTACCTAAGCTCCTTATATACTCTAATTATTAATCCCTTGTCAGATGGATTCAGAATTGTGTTTTGTCTTTATTTTACACTCAATTCTAAACCACTGAATGGTATCAAGTGGAGAATTGACATATTTGTATTGGAAGATGACTTTGTGTATTTGCTACCTATTGCTGTGTAACATACTGGTCAGGTGCAGTGGCTCACACCTGTAATCCCAGCACTTTGGGAGGCCAAGGCAGGCAGATCACGAGGTCAGGAGTTCAAGACAAGCCTGGTCAAAATAATGAACCCTTTCTTTAATACAAAAATTAACCAGGTGTGGTAGCTCACACTTATAATCCTAGCTACTCAGGAGGCTGAGGCAGGAGAATCACTTTAACCTAGGAAGTGTACGTTGCAGTGAGCTGAGATTGTGTCACTGCACTCCAGCCTGGGAGACAGAGTGAGACTCCATCTGAGAAAACAAACTAACAAACAAAAAAAAATACCACCCCAAATTATACAGTTACAATGATACTTATTAGTCTTCTCATAATTCTGGAGGCTGACTAGACTCACCTAGGCAGTTCTGGCTCAGGATGTGGTTGCCTTTAAACAGTATGGAGTTAGAATACTGTCAAAGGTTTTCTTGCTCAAGTAACTCCTGGTTAATGTGGGCTGTCAGCCAGGGAATCAGCTGGGGCTATCTGGTGGAATACCCACAGGTAACCTCCCTACATGATCTGGGCTGTCTGACAAAATGATGAATGGGTTTTAAGCACACCCACCCCAGGAGGGAGAGCCAAGTGGAAACAGTACATCTTTTATGACCTAACTTTGTCAGGTCATGAGCAACAATTCACTTTATTCTGCTTACAGAAGCAGGGGACTATGGTCATTTTCAAGGGAAGAGAAACTAAATTCTATCTTTTGATAACAAGTGTAAAAAAAATTGAGGACAACTATTCACAATAGTGGAGAGATGGAATCAACCTAAGTTTTCTTCCCTTGATGGAAAAAAGAATAAAGAAAATGTGGCAGCCAGGCACAATGGCTTACACCTGTAATACCAGCACCTTTGGAGGCCAAGGTGGGCAGATCATCTGAGGTCAGGAGTTTGACACCAGCCTGGCAAACATGGCAAAACCCCGTCTCTACTGAAAATACAAAAAGCCAGGTGTGGTGGTGCATACCTGTAATCCCAGCTGCTTTGGGAAGCTGAGGCAGGAGAATCACTTGAGCTTGGGAGGCAAAGATTGCAGTGAGCTGATATTGCACCACTGCATTCCAGCCAGGGTGAGAGAGTGAGACTCCATCTCAAAAAAAAAAAAGTACAACATGCAGAAAATGCTTTATGTAAT